TGTCGAAAAGATCTTCAAACGTGTAATCCAATGGGTATTCCAAATGCAACGTGCACTATTCACAGAACTAACACAATACACGAAATCCACTGAGAAAACGATCACTGTACACTATAATATTCGCATACATACGCGGTCGTACAAAATAGACACTAAAAGAGACACAGAAAACTAAATAAAACGTATATTAATACGATCGACATTCATCGAACGTCTGCGATTTGGCGCGCATTTAACTATTCGAAAAAACCGCCAACAGCTCCACTTACGGTGTAGCATAGAAACACTACAAATGGCGTCTGGGTTCAATTTTAAAAACGCCTTAAAAGCGTCTTCGAGGCGTAACTAATACATAAGTTTTCAGAGATTTCAGTTTGTTTTAAAATATAGACAATTGTGGAAAACTATACCACAAACGAAGAACAAGATAGATCTAACGTCTTATGGGACTTTGAGAGAGCCTTTACCATTTTCGCGTCACTCCCAACGTTACCGATTAAGCATAGAATAAGATTACAACATTAGTAGTGGTTGGCATTAGAATTTTCACATTTATTGACTTTACCATTTTCGATGGTTAGATTGTGTATAATACCTAAATTCACCGTTTTATGTCGCAGAGGGCATAACCTAACCGCTGATTTTTTACACGATCGGTATTTCAGAACGTTCGACACAAAAAGTACATCGGTGGATAGGTCTGTCTTGTACCTCGTTTGTGACTGCACAACGAACACGCATTAGCAATATTTTAGCTGCTGATTCTGACCAACATCAATGGAATAAATAAACAAATAAATTTCAAACCTATAGCTCCGAATGTGGCTCGTCTTCCCAAAACTGTGTGTTCGAATATTCGCAATGAAAGAAATGGAGCTTTTACCATCCGAATATCCAAGTACCAGAAACTATTATAACCAAAATTTAGTGTCGAAATTCGAGTCTGTATACTCAAGTATCCAATTTTTAATTGGATTTATCGACAGTAATTATTTTAAAAATACGAGTTTAAGTTTGAACAATTTTTACTGAAATTAAATCAAACTTTTAAATTATATATTGATTTCTAGAAGCGAAGAATGGAGTAAAAGTGTTTTACAGAAAATACAAGCGTCGTTTCACCAGCGTGCTAAGTACTTTTCAAGTGGACAGGAGGTAGAAAAGTACTTGAGATACACATCTCAAGGTTTCATCTAAACCTACGTACAAAACGTCTTCTAAACTCTATACCAACGCAAATATTTGACAAGCATCTCGCTGAATAATAAGTTTTCCACACCGATAGAAAACTGACTCGTTTTAATTTCATCTTAACGAGTGTTGTGCAATTGACGTCGTTTGCAACATTAATTTCTCTTCGGTGAAATTCGTGTAATTAATGGTTACCTATTATGTTTGCCTGTTTACCTATTATAAAGCAGAAGCGTGAATTTTACAAAACTATTCTCACTTCTCTATACTCTGTAAATACAGTTTGCCGCTCGTTAAGTATCAGCGTTAATTAAGATTAGAAAATTATTACTGTTTCAGACCTTAACGCCACGAGGTATTGCGTTTGTATAGATGTGCGTTTACAACGTCAGCGAGGAACATCTTTTATACTACAAAAGACAGTAAACGTACGAATTTTTATAAATGAAAAATATCGTACTCTATTGTTCTCTAATTTTCCTCCAGATAAGTTACAATTTGTTCACGAGAAAATTTGGTGAAAAAGAAAGAAGAGAAAGATGGTTACCGCCAAAAATATTTCTATTGAAAATTCGTATCATGAGAGCTGTCGTGAAAAACGTACAGCAATAAATTGAAGGAATAGTTCAGCATGGAATTACTTGTAATATGAAGTTCAACACCGCATAAGCGTTTATGTTTAATTAAACTTATCACAGAGTTTCGTGCAGTAGGATATATGTATACATTTCCTTAGCGGAGACTTCACTCTAACAGAACAATGTTAGAACAAACAGCAACCGTTGTTAGTGTAAAACACGAACTGTAATTGTAATTGTACGCCTACGATAATAAATCTGTTAATTAATACAGCCGAATTCATAAATCACCGCGAATATCTGCTGTTTCTAAGGAAACTAATAACAAGACTAATGTTCACCTAAACGTGAAATCGCAAAATGGTCAGAAAATAACAGGAATACATACCGCACAAGCTCGTCAGTTACGTCTTCAAAATGTACTAGAAATTGTTGAGAGGATTGGCGGAGAAAGGATCGCGATTTTTCGAGGAGAGTTGGTTCCAGGTAAAAACATACAAGCACGCAAAAATATTAAAAATAAAATGACACAAAATTAGGGAGATAAGATGACCGATACATTTCGCATATTTATACGTTTCACTTTCCGAAAATTCCAAAAGTTGCGACAGAGAAAATCTGAAAACACAAATTCTCACTGACACATGAGTGTAGCTTTTATTTTTCCGGAAATTCCAAAATTTGCGACAGAGAAAATCTGAAAGGCATAATCTGCCAACAAGCAAAGCAGTAACTAGGTAAAAAATTAGATCACTTTCTTCCAACTTTGAGAAAATCCTCCCTGAAGAGATTAAGATACCTAAAATTTCAATATTTGTTACAGAGAAAATCTGAAAACCATAATTTGCCAACCAGGAAAGCAGAATCAACGTAAACAATTAGATCACTTTCTTCCAACTTTGAGAAAATCCTCCCTCGAGAGATTAAGATACGAATTCGCGAAAAAAACCTTCGTCACCGGTAAAATATTCCTACACATCGGACCAACGACGAAGAAACATTTATCACAACTTGTTAAACTTTCACGCAGTTAAATGCATCATCGATCGAAAACCAAACCTGTTATCTTCCTTATCGAACGTAACTGTCCCCGCATCCTCGAGCGCGCACGTTCGCCATTCCGTCGAACAACGGCAAAATTTCCGACGAACAATCCGATAAACTCTATTGAAAAATCTGCAAGGAAGAACGAAACGTGGTACAGAACGTACTGATGCATGAAAAATCGTGAAACGATATTTTCCAGATAGGAAACTACATATATCTCCCCCCCTTTCCGTTTGTTGATGCGCTACTTGGTACGCGGAATTAGATAAGAAACTATCCGATATAACTTGTCACAGTCATAGCCCAATAATTTGCCGTAAAGAAAATTCACAGGAATACACGCCGTCCTATTGAGTTTCGCCGATAAATCATCCTGCTAGAAAGTTTAATCACTTTGAGGTAATAAGTACGAAGAAAAGCTACATAAATACACGGTAAAACGTTTCTAACGATGAACTTTGATAAATAGATAACGAAATTGATCAAAACTGTAAGTAAAGGAGTTCTCGTCGAGTAGAACTTAACCGGCGAATGACGCGCGTTTTATTACTTCGTTAAATGTTTCCTACAGGTGTATACTGTTTGTGATTTCGTGTATATGTAGCTGGGTACGGAAACAAGCACTGTTACACGGTTATGGAAAATGTGCGAGAACGAAGCGGAGGAAAATGCAGCGGCGAGAACGGTAACGGTAGGTAAAACTGTGAAATATGTGCCTTCTTCGTTCATTACGCTAATACGCCGCTGATTATGTAAATTTAACAGTCTCGATGAAATATCGTATAGGATACGAGACTGTGGAGAGTATCTTTCAAAAGCGTGTTAATACATTCGAATCGCTTAATACGCGACGAGTTTAAACTTAGGAATCTAAGGAAATATGTATTCGTTCGATTAAAATGTAGGATCGAAATAGATTTTGCTTCTGGATTGGATCGACAAATTCTTGATATAGAAAACGAATGCAACAAAAGTTGCACTAACTCATATAAGATGACATAGAAGCTGAAATGAGAGTGTCCGAATATTTCCGTTTAGGAGAATTGGATGCGTTAAGTCGAAGAAAGAAATTTGGAGGATTTGTTGAGTGAAATTTTGGCGAAAGAAATTTCAGTGTGAGCATTTTCAACGCTCGATCGGTAATTCTCTTTAGACAGGAGCAGCGAACGTCGATTAAAAAGGAAATTCTTTATTCGGCTAAAATTCGACGCGTTCAGTCAATTTTCGGCGAAAGAAATTTCGCGGAATTTTCACTGCGATCTTTTTCAACGATCGGTCGATAATTCTCTTGAGTGCGGAACAGTGAATGTCGATTTAAAAAATTCTTTATCCTTCAAAATTCGATGCGTTGAGTCAATTCTTGAAATTTCAAGAGATTTCGCAGAATTTTCACTGCGATCATTCTCTTCAGACGGAAACAGTGAATCTCCGTTAAAAAAATTTGTATTCATTCAAAATTCGATGCGTTCAATTTTTGGCGAAAGAAATTTCCCAGAAATTTCAACGATCCCTCGACAATTCTCTTCAGTCCCAAAGCAGCGAACCTCGATTAAAAGAATTATTATCCATCCAAAATTCGATGCGTTCAATTTTTGGCGAAAGAAATTTCCCAGAAATTTCAACGATTCCTCCATAACTCTCTTCAGTCCCAAAGCAGTGAACCTCGATTAAAAGAATGATCCATCCAAAATTCGATGCGTTCAATTGTTGGCGAAAGAAATCGCCCGATACCTCTCTTCAGTCCCAAAACAACGAACCTTCACTAAAAAAATGATTATCAATTCAATTTCTGAATTTTTGAAAGAAATTTCCCAGAAACTTCAAAGATCCCTCAAAAATTGTCTTCACTCCCCGCAACAGCTAATCTCGACGAAAAAAGAAAAGAAGAAATATTATCATTCGCTTGAAATCGAGCACCGGCGCGCGTCGGAACAGCCAGAAAGACGTTAAATGTCAAGCGTGCCTGATACGAATCGGAATAAATTTCGTGTCAATCGGACGGACGATCGGATAAGGCTAAAAACGTAAGCGGAAGGAGTAACGGAGCATCGTGAGAGGCAAAGAGGAAAGGAAGCAAGAAACGGCGAGGAGAGGGGCATCAACGTGGTTCCCGGTGCTCGGGCATCAGCCAAAGACAGCGGCAGCACTCGCGTGCTCTGCTCTTCGCTCGCCGCCGATCCTTTCTGTATCGTCTCGGCTGTACAGTACCGGTTAGACAGTCACGTAGTGGCCAAGTGCTGTGAATTTACCTCTCCGAGGACTTTAAACTGCTCTTTTTTCTCTTCTTTCTTCTGCGATCGACACGCAACTGGTTTCAGGTATCCTCTCTGGCCATGTTCACGTGAGTCTTCTTCTTTGCCAACCGCGGGGGAATCCTCTCTTTCTCTTAATCGTTCATCAACCGAACCGGGTAAGCTACATCCTAAACATTTACCTCGTATACCTGTATTTGACAGTCACGTTCCGTTACTAAAAGCAACTCCTTCTAAAGAAATATTCTATCTTTCTGGTAAAACGAAGTTTAAACTGAAACTGACATCAGAAGCAACTTGTTTACGAATTTAAGAGAGTTGAATGTTAGCGATGAACCAGATAATCTCAGGGTCTTACCAAGCTTCCTCTTCAAATTTAGAACTGTACTGTGAGAATACGAGGATTAAATTGCCGATTTACGTGGCGTATTATAATATGAAGAAGAAAAGAAAGTTATCACCGGTTATTTTCCATAAGGATCCGCGAAAATGCAAATTCAACTGTAATTTCGACCGATTATCTCACACATGCGTACTTCTAGGCTCGCTGTTTTCGCGTAAACAATAACGGTGCGCGCTGAACTAAACAATCGAGGATATTAAAGCAATTATCAGGCTTGCAACAGAGTGCGCGTAATCTGCTTAAAATAATGCCAGTTCTGTCACGGTACACGTACATCAGGTTCCTGCCGATGCATTATGCACAAGGCTCGATCCATCGCTTGCATTTGATGTTAGCACTCGAAGCCTGGCGTACAACAATTCAGTCAAGATACGTTATCTGTCTGTACCTTTACACTCGGAACTCGTAACGTTTTCATTAGTTACGATATTCGCGAAATATATTCCACAGCATGGTGATTGCTTTGAAAAAAAAAAAAGAACACTTTGCAACGCTACGTAACGTTTCGAATTCATTGGCAAACGCGTCAATTAAACGCGAGCCGCAAGCTGAAACGATTCGTGTGCTTGCTCGTACCATGAAGCGTGAAGTATGAAAATATCAAAGTAGTGTAACAAAAAAAAAGGAAACAAACCGTACTTCAACGAACGTTTCGACACTAACCTACGCATACGTAAAATCCTCGCTTCTGATTATCTTCGAGATCGATTCGCGAGGATGACAGCTGACGTTGACGAATCGTAAAACCTTGGAAAATTATACGCATTGCATACGTAAAATCCTCGCTTCTGATTATCTTCGAGATCGATCGACGATCGATTCGCGAGGATGACAGCTGACGTTGACGAATCGTAAAACCTTGGAAAATTATACGCATAGGGAAAAATTGCAGTGTGCGAAAGTAAAGATCGTAGCGTAGTCGTGCAAATATTTGTCGGAATGAGGAGATTAAGGATGATCGAGGTGTACATACTTGATGTTATCGTGGTTCGATGTCTCGGAGCAAACATCACTCGAACACGGTGTTTGGAAAAGAGAGGTACCTTGAACTCTGCGAGAGATAAAAGGTCAAGAACGAAGTTTGCCTGTTACATTCGAAGAGCAAATATCGCGCGAGGTATCGAAAGAAAGGTAGAAAGGCTGGTCAACTTGCTATATAGGGTGCTTTCAATACCCACGTGCTTTACAGAAATGGCAATAACCAATGGAACCAGTTATAAATCGGCCGGGACGTTAGCGCGGTGCTTTGTGAATCACCAAAGAGAAGCTTGTCAAACACCGCACCCAGAAATGGAACTCGTTCATTTCGTTTGCCATTCGGTTATTACGGTATTGTGGCCGCAGTTTCGTTCACGTGCCTCCGCGGAAACGTGAAAACGTCCAGGAAATTAGAAGGAACGAGAAAATAGAGAGCCTTGGATGTTGTTCGATGATCAGAGTAGGAAGATTCGAGTCAATTTCTGAGCCAAAATGATTAACTTCGATTTTTTCACGTTTCTCCAATTTTCGTGTCGAAGTGCTGAATTTTTCATGGTTGAAAGAAATTCGATAACCTTTCTTTGCTGGAGTTTTCTTCTGTTTTTTGACGAGAAATTTTTAAAAGTTTTAAAGATTTTGTCATAATAATTTCGCTTGTGTCGTTTAAAATTTCGCGCGCAATTCACTTTCTTCGTACTCGAGTCTATTATCTTCGAGAAACCGTTATAAACGCACGTGTGCAAATTATAAAACGAGAATCGGACGTTTGTTATACTTCGTTGCTACAAAAGACAGGTTGATAAGCAATAATACTTAATAACGGCGCATGTAATGGGTCGTACTCGTAGAATGATAAAAAAATTTGAATGCTCGATATTGTACACTTAAATCAGTGGTATTCGATTTGTAAGAATTCCACGTTGAACGAGTAATTTCAGAGAGGTGAGTGGCCATTTATGCGGAACGATAAGCATTAGGATTCGTCTCTCGGTAAAAATTCATCGCTGATTATGTGCAAATTATAAGAAGGAAGCGTTCGAAACATGTTCATTAGAAGACAGAAAAAAAAATAGAAAAAGTACAGAAATTATTAAATAAAAGAAAGTCAAAAGTTATGCTCGTGAATGTATCGAATGATTACAACAGGTACCGCCCAGTGAAAAGGTATAATATCTGGTTCATGTTAAGGCCTTTCTTTTCCGTTCGTGCTTTCCCCAAAAATTGTTCGATCGAGAGCATAAAATCCCCTGCAAAATTTAATTGAACTCGTTTTGGCCAATTATTATTCTTTTGTATTCACATTCCTTTTGCTACAATGTAAAGCACGAAAAACTGACTTGTTACCATTTGGGTCGATGTATCTACCTTTCGTTCTGTACAAGGTGTTCCATATTAATCTCAACGCAAAATCCTCTCGAAACAAAAGTAAGTTCCATTGGAAGCATTTTTTCGAATAGCAAATTCGAGAGATAATCGCGTGTGTAAAATGGGACACCCGGTATTTACCTGGACGATTTTGTAACAATCGGTGACAAGCAACGGATAAAGACGGAAAATGATGAATTCAGTGCAGCACACCGCAACGTTGCATCCTATTACGTTAATTTTCCTTTTTTTCTTTCACGCGCTCCGTTGCATTCAGGAAGTGCATTTCCACTTTCTGTACGATCGATACGGATGTCTAAATTAGAATTTCGCGCGATTTGCGAAGCACGATGTGGAAATGTCGCGTGAATCTCGCCGCGAGGGTCAAATATCTGTTCGAGGATTTCAGATCCTCGGTCAGAGTAGGATTTTCCAATTCTATTTCGCCCCGGCTGTGTTTAACTTCAGAGAGAAATATTCGTATCGTTTCGCAACAGAAAAGTCATTATCGCGGCAGAATTTCTTTTGCAAGGAAATGTCTTCCCTCTAATTGTCTTTAATTACAATCTCACTTGAAGAAACAGCTGGCGGGGAAGAGAAGTTGTTTTCGTGGAATCTAGTTTAATTCGACCAGGCGAAGGAACATTTATTTTATATCCAGCTGCAAATGTAATAATAGGTGTATTAAATGCTCTACGATTATTGCGTCCAGTTTTCGTAGCGTTGACACACGTAATTCGAGATAATTCACTGTTGTACGGCAATTTTCATGGAAGTGGGCAGTTTTTACCGTTTCTATTATCTTCGCTGTAGTTTCTAGTAAATCGAGGGAATTAAATAAGAAAGTGAATCGGTCGGTACTTCGATTTGTTGGGCGGTTTCGATTCACAAGATCGTGACGAATGTCCGAATAACGATACTTTCACCGATTTTAGCTCGATTTCCTTTGTCTTGCACGGGTAGAATCGCGGTACCGATTTCTGTTCCCCGACTTCGTTATCGTCCGCGACGGAAACGTGTTGTAAAATAACGCGTAACGGTAGAAATGACAATGATACGCGTGAATCATAACGGGAAAAATCATAGCAATTCTTGCTACACGCTGTTCCATGAAAAATTCGACGATTACGAAATGAACCGCAAGTGATAAAAGTTGTATCGTGGTTTGTAGATCGAATTCGAACATAAAAGACAATTCTCGCGATTTTTAAAGAATATATACACTACACTCGTTCTCCTTTCATTCTTGTATAGCTTCGATAGGATGCAGACACAATTAAGCTAAATAATTATCAACGAAGTTAGTGTAAAATTTGTCGGCGTGATCAATAGCAGAGCCGATTTCTTCAGGTAAAAGCACATGACTTTTACTCATGGGGTGTACTGAAGTGTAACATTTTTTCCAACAACCTAAGCGATCTTTCACGGTTGACGAATAACTGTACTGCGGAATATTCTTACAAGCCGTCTGCTAGTTTATGAAATATCGTAAAAAAAGGTCGTTAATTAAACGACATCGATAAGTATACCAGACTGAAAACGTATAAATATAAAGTACTTTTCATTTGGAAGAAGAAAGAAAAATGAAATTTAATATTGCCTAATTTACTGAAGCTAAATCTTCTTTTAAATTGTGAAAGATTTAATGAAAACTAGACTAAGAACGATGGAAGACCCGAGATATCGGTTTTTTTATTGCAAGACGCAGGTTGATGGAAAGTAAACAATATTGGTGGAAAAGTGTGTGTGTGTGTGTGGTTAAATACGCTTTCCCTTTGCAAAAATTAATAACAGAAAAGTGAAATTCGAAGCTGATACTTATGGACAACCGTTTTACCTTCACCGTGCAATTTGCATGGACACTGATCGCGTAAGCTTAAATTGCTTAAAATTGGAAAGGATCGAGAAGAGAAGAATGCAGGAAATTGAACGTTTTAATTTCACAAGATAGAATAAACTCTCCATATTTATGCGGTTTTCGTTCTTGAGAATAAAAGTAATTAGTGTTTCGCTTTGGGAATTCATTTATCAACGTTACGCGGTATTTAACGAAAGGAGAAAGAGACAATCTAGAAGAAAGGGTACCGAGATCAATGATCTGGAAAACGGCCGTTCGGCTCTGAATCTTCTCGAGGATCGTCACCTCTTCAAACGCGGCCTGACTTTCATCCGTACTTAATTACATCCTTCACACTACTTTCCTTGGTTCTTAATGCAATTGTTGTCCATCATGTAATTACATTTCGTTTCATACCGCACGTTGCTTCGTCGGTGTTCGCCGCTTTTCCAAAAGCCGGGGAACCGTGCAAACGGCAATCCGCTGGATTTTAAATCCCTTCTGTGTTTTCTGACGTCATCTTTTCTTTATATATCGCAGCAAAATTGTAGAAATGTATTTTTCAAGTTTTGCTT